ATGAGTGACGACAACCCCACCCGCCCCTTTGAGTCTGTGTCGGCCGACTTTTTCTGTGTGTCAGGAAAGTCCTTCCTGGTTATCGTCGACCGTCTCTCTGGTTGGCCGGTTGTCATCAAGGGCGGTAATGACACGACGTCTGCCGCCACCATCAGCAAGTTCCGCCACTACTTCCGTGACGTGGGCGTTCCTGTACGCCTGCGAACCGACGGAGGGCCTCAGTTCACAAGCCGGGACTTTGCTGCGTTCCTCGACCGATGGGGAGTCCGGCATGTGTTGTCATCGCCCCATTACCCGCAGTCCAACGGCCACGCTGAGGCTGCTGTCAAATCTAAACACCTCATCCTTAGGTGGCCTTCTGGAACATTGACTGCTTGAGCCGCCGACCGACCGGTTCTTGAACTCCTAACACACACCACACCGGACGCTCCCCTGCCCAGGTTTTGTATGGACGCCCCTTCGTTCTTGTGTCCCTGCTCACCCTCAATCCTTCTCCAAGGAGTGGCAGGCCAAGACAGAGGATTGTGATCGCCGAGCCGCCGAACGTGTTCAGGACGTCGTCGCCCGCTACAACGACCACGCCAGTTCTCTCCCCAGGTTGAGTGTCGGCACCCAAGTCCGTGTTCAGGACCCGACCTCCCTACGTTGGGACAAAGTAGGCGTAGTCATGGGTCTCGGCAGGTCACGGGACTACCAGGTGCGGTTACCCAGTGGTCGTGTGTGGTGGAGGAACCGCCGTTTTCTCCGCCCCGTAACACTGCCTTCTGCTGGCCCCGCCACCAGTGTTGAGTCCCATACCCTTCCCAGTGATGAAGTCCCTCGACGCTCAGAACGGATCCAGAAGAAAAGGTCCGCTCAAGACTTTGCTATGAGCGTATAGGGGGGAGGGAGGTGTATGTATATTATGTATGCTGGATTATGTATTATGTATGTATATTATGTATGTGCTCCATTTATATTTATTCAGCCTAGCTAGCAGCGTGTGGCAATGTTATTACCATCCCACACGCTTAATTAATGTGCCTGGCGACGTATGGAAGCTGCTAATGTATCACTTGCCATACGTCGTCTATGGTAGTTGACCAGGACCTTAGCTAGGGAGCAGTGCTATCCACCTCTGTGTACATACTCTTATCCAGTAAACCGAACCTACAAAACTATACAGGTGTTTGTGTTCTCTCCTGTATATAGAACTTATTACCCAGAACATCTAACAGGAGCCATTATTATGGGCTTGTACAGTACAGTACAGTATTACCCCGCCTAACGCGGTTTCACTTAACGCGTTTTTTCATATACGCGGTGCCTCGCCAGAGCTGAACTTTCACTTAACACGGATTTTTTCCACATATACGCGATGAGTGTCCGGCTCGAGACGCTATTTTTAGATTTGCCCCACCCGCCACCCTGCCTGACTGCCTGTTTTAGCTCATAAAATTCATACAAATACCCGGCCAGAATATAATTTACATTGCTGGAATTCTTATAATTTGGTGATCATTTTGAATATAAACATCATATATTTTGCATTAGACATACAAATTTTAGATAAAATGTTTTCTCTGAGTAAATATGTTATCTTTTGTGCAAAATATATGACATGTATATTCAAAATATTCCTGGTCTTACAAGGAATCCAGCAATGTCAATTATATTATCCTAACTTTAGTTTGAGGTATTATTTATTACTAAAAAGTTAAATATTCTGGTTATCCCACACATCTCCTTGGGACGGTTGGTGGGGGGTGGGGGGGGAGGGAGGGACCGACCGACCATCTGTTACCCTGTGAAGAATATATTTTTTTTTTATTAACTGAAGATATTTGTTTTAGCTCATAAAATTCATACAAATTACCCGGTCAGAATATAATTTACATTGCTGGAATTCTTATAATTTGATGATCATTTTGAATATAAACATATATTTTGCATTAGACATACAAATTTTAGATAAAATGTTTTCTCTGAGTAGATATGTTCTCTTTTGTGCAAAATATGACATTTATATTCAAAATATTCCTGGTCTTACAAGGAATCCAGCAATGTCAATTATATTATCCTAACTTTAATCTGAGGTATTATTTAATACAAAATGTTAAAATTTATTTTTTTCACCCAACCTTTCTCTTGAAGGGAGGATTGGTGGGGGGAGGGTTGGGACTGACCGCGTGGTTGGAAGAGGGGGGGAGGCAAGGTGGGGTACTTTGATTGACAGATAGTGTCCTGAAGAATATTTTTTTTTTATTAACTGAAGATATTTGTTTTAGCTCATAAAATTCATACAAATTACCCGGCCAGAATATAATTTACATTGCTGGAATTCTTATAATTTGATGATCATTTTGAATATAAACATCATATATTTTGCATTAGACATACAAATTTTAGATAAAATGTTTTCTCTGAGTAAATATGTTATCTTTTGTGCAAAATATATGACATTTATATTCAAAATATTCCTGGTCTTACAAGGAATCCAGCAATGTCAATTATATTATCCTAACTTTAATCTGAGGTATTATTTAATACAAAATGTTAAAATTTATTTTTTTCACCCACTCTTTCTCTTGGTGGGGGGTGGGGGGGAGGGTTGGGACTGACCGCGCGGTTGGAAGAGGGGGGAGGCAAGGTGGGGTACTTTGATTGACAGATAGTGTCCTGAAGAATATTTTTTTTTTATTAACTGAAGATATTTGTTTTAGCTCATAAAATTCATACAAATTACCCGGCCAGAATATAATTTACATTGCTGGAATTCTTATAATTTGGTGATCATTTTGAATATAAACATCATATATTTTGCATTAGACATACAAATTTTAGATAAAATGTTTTCTCTGAGTAACTATGTTATCTTTTGTGCAAAATATATGACATTTATATTCAAAATATTCCTGGTCTTACAAGGAATCCAGCAATGTCAATTGTATTATCCTAACTTTAGTTTGAGGTATTATTTATTAAAATTTAGTAGTTTTCCCCCAAAAATTTCTCACGAGAGGGAAGAGCCAGCAGTGTAGTGTGAGAAGAGGGGGAGGGAGTTGAGTCCATTTTTTGAATGGACATTAACTTGGCGACTGTATTTCTCTATTTCTCTTAAGTATTAATTGTGTGCATGTACCATCGTAAAATTAAGATGTTATTTTTACTACAACATAGTTATGTGTCTTCAAAAAGTGGAGTTTGGGGGTCGGGCCGCTTTCTATTGGAATTAATCCCATATGTTCTGTTGTTCACTTAACGCGGGACCCTCTGGGTTCTATTGACCGCGTTAAGTGGGGTACAACTGTACAGTACTCTGTAAATGGAAAGAGTAGGACTCAAAATTACATACGTTGTCATAGTTTGATTGCTCGCTTTAAAGTGGCGACCGTGTGGTCGCTGTGCAGCTGTGGCGCTCACGCATGTACACATACACACAAAAGCCATTTAAATTAAAAAAAAAAATAAATAAATAAGTTTGAGTTTTCGAAAAGTCTGGATTCTCGGGTGGTCCGGATTTCTGGCATCCGGATTTTTGGACTTTTACTGTAGTGCGTTTAACGTTTGTGAGAGATTTGGTGATTCCAATTCGTAGGATATTTTGGATTTGGGTTGAAATGAAGAAATGCTTTGGACTATGATTTATTCTTTGATTAATGACAATACGATATTTGTATGTGTCATGGTATATAGGGGGTCCTTCGTTGAAAAAAGTTTGAGAACCCCTGCTTTAAGTCACAGGTCATGGTTCATATCAACAGGGAAGTGGAGTGGTTATTGTGTTGTCACTCCATTTTAATGGTCAGTGTTTGGTCAACGGCCATAGTGAATGATTACCTCAACAGCCTGATTGATGGGACTAGTGGTTTTGGGACTTAGAGCCTCCACATTTCCATGTTTAGGGTGTTTCAGCTTAGTAAACACTGTTTCATTCAACAGATTCAAGACCTTTTGGAAGTCCATCTTTCATAAAGTTGTTGCTGTTTTAGTTGGAACTTACCAAGATGACACCTTAATACTGTGTGGCATGGGGAACTTTGGTTTGTTCCTTTCTCTTTTACTTTGGAACTGACTTTGGCTTTAGATCAGTTTATTATGATTCATCTTATTTGTGGTGCAAGCAGAGCACAGTACAGATACTTCTTACCTCCCTTTTCTAGCTAGCTGGCTTTATTGTACAAAGTTGTTTGATCCTGAAATATTGTTATAAATGATGAATTGACCCTCAGATCCCATTGTATGAGCAAGTTGGGATTGTGCAACTCTGCATCTTTCTTCCCTCCCTTTTGTTGCTGATAGAATGTGATCTCAAGTAATGATTCTTGTGATGTCATCTTATATATATCCCAGTCATCTGGGGATTCAACCCTCAAGATAATCTGGTTGACTGGAGTTGTTTCCTGATTTCAACTCACTTATAAAATGGGACCTCAGGATCAGTCCACCATATTTTCATGCTAAGAGAAAGGGTAAGATATTACAGATTAACATTATTACAATACTTGTACATAATTACAAAGGCAAAGCTGTGTGCAGACCTGAGATTTTTCCACCAATCAATTGACTTCTGGCCTTTTAATTGTCAAGTAGTTCACTGAAGATCCAGTGTAAAAAATGGCAGAAGGGTCTGACCTGATGGTTGAAGATGGAACTCTTAGAGGATAGAATTAATCAAAGTAATGAGGAAAAGGGGTTTATGGTTTATATGCCCCAGATAATCCACCCATAAATCAGTTTTGTAACAAAATGCTCAATAATGTATAAGATAACCATTTGGTCAAACGGGACTAAATCTTTAACCCTGGTTAGGTAACAAAAATATTGTCTGTCTGGATAATGTATGCTGACTTTAAACATACCCAGGCAGGTTGTTCCAAAGGGTGATTTTCAGGACACTTGGTTCTTTCTCATGGTGATAAAGTGCCATTTTTTCTTCATTTATACAATGAAAATGAGAACTGAGAAAATAATATTAAGTTTTATAATAATGTCCTACATATATATGTTCTGTATTCCAGGGTGAAGTGGAAGAAAGTGATCTTGAGGCTGTTTGGTCTGATGTGGATTTTTCATTTAGTGGCCAGTAACATCACAACCTGCAGTGTTGAGAACGAGAGCAGCAGCCACAAAACCAACCAGTAATGTGTTGCTGCTTGTACTGTAAGCATGAGCAATTGCGGTGGCTAGAAGAAGATGAATCAAAATTTACCCTATAAGGGTTGCTGTACTCTTTCTTCCCTTGATAGACAAGATGAACGGAACTATTGTATTTATGAAAACTGATAGGATTTACAAGTTGATTGTGCTACATTCTCTTGTACATTGCATTTATACATTGTGCTTATATGTGTATGATTATAACTGGGTATATTGGGAGTACAGTATTATAATAATTAAGTGAACTATGTTGTGCTTATGACTTTAGAGAACACTCAGCATCCTGTGGCAAATACAGTATCATTATATTTATTTATGTATACATTCCTTCTATTTAAAATTCATGTTATCATCTGTTAATCATTATTCTCCTGTAATAAATATTTTGCTATACAGTGGTCCCTCGGTTAACGAGCGCCTCGGTTAATGAGATTTCGGTTAACGAGTTACCTTCCATAAGATTCTTAACTTCGGTAAACGAGCAATCCCTCGATTTACGAGTTTCTTACGAGCCTGCCTCAACATGTTTTCGCTTGCATTTGGCGGTCCACCAGCTGTAATATTAGTCCGCCAATACAGTAATCGGTTCTAGGGTTATATTCCTTACCATTTTAGTAAATATCAAGAAGTTTATACTATTCAATAATTTTAAAAGTTTAATATTAAATTTTGTAGTCATTTTAACAATTATTGAACATAATCGAAGGTAAGGAAACTAGTTTTATGCGCGCCATCCAGCCTGTCAACACACCAAATAGGCGCCAGTCTCTCTGTCTTTTCAGTGGAGGTAACATCTTGCTTGAGACTCTCTTCAACTAAATGCTTTTTTTCTGTGTTTGCAAGCAAATTATTGGTCATTTTGAAATTTATTTTACATATTGACAATATATAATGCAGTGCAGTGTTGATTTAAAGAAAATAATCTTGAATTACACCAAGAGAACTAAAATTTTATGAGTGAAATGGCACCATGGGGTGACTTCTCTTCCACCCCAATGCCTTCTCTTCTCCATTCTCCTCCACCCCCATTCTAATTCCCATCATCATCATGCAGGAGCCTTCTACATACACACCTCAAAGTAAGTGTACTTTTCTACCTTTTTTGTTGAATTTAGGCAATTTTTGGTGAGCTGGAACCAATTACCCAAAAACCCATTGAAACAATGGTTTCGGTTAACTAGTTTTTCGGTTAACGAGCAACCTTCTAGAACGGATTGTGCTCGTTAACCGAGGGACCACTGTATAACAGGGGTGGCCAAACTTTGAGGACATAAGAGCTGCACATTACAATTTTTAGATATTTGACAGTAGCTAAACATGAATAACTTTTCCATATACTGTACAAACAGTATATGTTACTGCTGCACACATCTAATTGTTTTCTTTGAAGTAATACAGTAGAAGTCCAAAAATCCGGATGCCAGAAATCCGGTCCACCTGAGAATCCGGACTTTTTGAAAACTCAAACTTTTTAAATTTAGCGGGCTTTTGTGTGTGTGCATGGGCATGCGTGAGCTGCACAGCGACAACAAGCGACCACGCGGTTGCCATTTTAAAACGAGCAATCAAACTGTGACAATGTATGTAATATTGTGTCCTACTCTTTCCATTTACCATATATAGCATACGTATTTACAAGCCCATAATAATGGCTCCTAAAGTAGATAAACTTCGTTGTGTGAAGAGAAAGAAGAACACTTTGAAATTGAGTGACAAATTGAAATAATTAAGAAACTAGAACGTGGTGTGAGCAATACTAATCTAATGGAAACATACGACATCGGAAAGTCTACAATTTTCGATATAAAAAAGGCAAAGAATAAAATTCCAGAATTCACAGCCTCGTCTCAGTATTTGCTAATGAATAGACTATCAAAATTTACCTGTTCATCTCTTCTTTATTCCTCCTTAAATTTAAATTTTAAAAGTACTGCCCGTGAATCCGGAAAATCCGAAAATCTGTACCTACCCAATCCCCGAGCAGTCCGTATTTTCGGAACTTCTACTGTAATAGAGAAAATGTTGCATGCCTAATTTTAAATCTGAACTGATTATTTTATTGCCTAAAATCATTTGTAACTTAGAATTTATAATATTTAAATAATATTTATTGTACGAGATGATACTTACGGTGATCTAACTAATCTCTGCTAGAAGTAGAAGGTTTGACATGGGCCCCCTTCTGGTAGATATGTTGTCAAGGTGGTATGAAGAACCTCTGTCAGGTGTTGATTAATGAGGTCTGCACACTGTTTCCATTTTACCAACCTCATCATCGAGTCCAGCTATTCATAATTATAAGTTGTGCCAAAACTTGAGATATGTTGTACACTGACCTCTTGAGTTGAGGATAGTTTGCTTTTGGCAGTTGCTTGTAAAACACAATTGTAAATAGGGACTTATGTATAATCTTTAAACCCAGTATAATCTTTAAACCCACATCCTCCTGTAACTTTCAAAGTTTTTTCGAGTGATGCAGCTTCCATAATCAAGGGTGTGGGAATAGGAAAACCATCACTAATCACATCAATCATGAGTGGATATACAAGAAATTCAAAGGAGTCTTAATTTTTTCACATCATCTAACTTGAACTGAAAATCATCTACAAGTCCTTCACATCATCTAACCTGAACTGAAAATCATCTATAAGTCCTTGTACTTTACCTTTGTATTCCTTCAGTATGTTGCCTACTACTTCAGTATCAGAAAATAAGTTTACTCTTTTCTTGAGATGGGGAACATGGCAAAAGTTTCTTGATGCAGTTGTAGTAAGTCTATTTACAGTAGCTTTACCTTGTTCTTGAAGCTAAAAATTGTCTGTTTAAGGTCAGAAATGATCTTAAAACTTTCCCTGGAATTTGAAGGTGCTTCATTAAAACAGCAAAAAACATCTGATCTTACACCCAACCATTTATTATCTTCTACTTGTGGATATGACCTTCCCTTCTCTTACATGAAATCAGTGTTCACTACAGCAGTTCAACAAAATATCTAAACTGTCACTGTTTTTTTCCAGTTGAACAGATGAAATTGACAACTGCAAGGAGAATTTTCTTCAACATTGTCAAACTTAAGTACTTGCTTGTCAAATGATCATGGTGAATGGTGCTTTGAACAAAGAGATATCCAGGAAACTTTTAATAATTTTCAAAAGCCCAACAAAGCCTTTATATCTTCCTACTATTAGTAACAACACTGACATCTGTCAATAATTTGTTAATTTATCTAAGCGCCATGTTTCTCTTGGGGGTACTAAGTCCAACATTTTGTCTTTCACGGTTACATCGGCAGAACATAACCAGCAAATATTGCCAGTTGTGGACTATCTTGTACTGTATGTCTGTGGATTCATCGAGGGCCAAACTGAATGTAACAGAATTCTTCAGGTCATTTTGTATCTTGATTACACCACCATCACTGATCTGGTAAATATGTGTCTCCATACTGCAGAAGGAAATAGGAATCCTTGCCATTTGGCTTTAACTTTTGTGCTATTTAGATCCAAAATTGTAAGTTGATTGGTAATATTCTTCTTTACAAATTCTCCCTCAGAGAACGGACACTTAGCATGAGCAGTATTCTCTGCCATAACAAAACTAATTTCAATCATTCAGTTAGCTGTGTTATGAAAAGATGAAAATGGTGTCTTGCTGATCATTTAGACCAGTTTTCAGCATGGTTAGCGAGGTTTTATGCAATACTAACTTGGGAGGTTATTCAGAAGAAAAGTTTTTATGGTTAGTCTCATGATGACACTGTAATTTACTGGCTTTAAAGTGAGTGAATAAAAAATGGCTGGTAAGACACACAGGTTTCTCACATTTAACAGTAAATGCAAAATTCTTTTCTACTTAAAACATTGGTTGTCTGCCTCATATTTCTGTTCTTTTCACTTTAACAGTTCCATTTTCACCCATCCGAGAATTAAAACATTCAGTATTTTAACCCTCAGATGCTGGAGTCATGGTCGTCTTACCATATTAAAAGTGTTGCCACACATGAAACAAGTAAAATTTTCCCGATTATAAAAATCACTAATTTTAGGTTTTTTCTGATATGCATAAAGCACGAAAATTTTATGTTTAGTAAGGTTATAACAAATTTCAGTACAGTATTTCTATGAACAATATGAGTTGGTAGACCTTTATTGTCTTGTATCTGTATGAGCTGTGGCATGGGAACAGAAACTAAACCAATGCTTAGTATTGTGTTGTGAGCTGCACATAATGTGCAAGGGCTTAGCCACCCCTGCAGTAATAAACATTTTCTAGATACTTTCAATATATGATTTCTGATTTGCCTCTTTAAAAATTTGCTTAGTATGTAATATACTGTACTGAACTGTTTATACCCTTGAATATGTCTGTCTCATTTCTAGATTGATGCTGACTTTTTAACCAAATCTCCTTAATTTTACATGTACAGTGGTCCCTCGGTTAATGAACGGTTCGATTAACAAAATTTTCGGTTAACAAATTACCTCCCATAAGGATCTTCAGTTCGGTTAACGAATGAAACTTCGATTAACGAAATCCTTACGAAGAACACGTTTTGTTGTGAGCATCAACTGATCAGCTCATGGGCTAGTCTGCCAATTCAGTAATCTATTCTATGTTTACATTTGTTTCCAATGGACTAAATATCAAGAAAGTTGTGCTCTTTAATATTTTTGCATTTTTGTTATTAAAATTATTAGTCACTTTAAAATTCTGTTAACATATTGATAATATATGCAGTACAAGGAACTAGTTCTTTGTGCACCCGTCAGCCGCTTGACTCGGCCACCAGGCGTCAGTCTGGCTTTGTTGACAGTGGAGTGAACATCTATTTTGTTGGTGTCTTTAATATTTTTGCATTTTTACATTGAAATTATTGGTCATTCTGAAATTTTGTTAACATTGATAATATATAGCGCAGTTCAGTGTTGATTTAAATAAAATAATCTTGAATTACACCTAGTGAACTTAAGATTTTATTGGTGAAATGACGGCATCAAGCATGGGTCCCCTGAAAGGTGATTTCTCCTCCATCCCCACTTCCTTCTTTTCTCCCTTCTCCTCCACCCCCACTCCTAATTCCCATCATCTTCAGCCAGGAACCTTCTACATACACACCTTAAAATAAGTGTACTTTACTGCATTTTTTTTTTTTGTATGTACTTTTCTGTGAGCTGGAACCAATTACCCAATATCCCATTGAAACAATGGATTCGGTTAACGAACGACTCTGTGGAACGAATTGTGTTCATTAACCGAGGGACCACTGTACAGGTACAGTACTGTAGTACTGAATGTCGATTATCCTACAAGCTTGGGATTGAAGACAAAGTTCATTTGGGAATTTTCCAAGTTTTGGATATGCAGTAAAAGGCTTGGAATTTGAATAAAATATTAAATAAGGCATTGTAAAATATGTTGAAGCTTAGGGGAGCTGCCCACAGATGACTTCATGATGAAATATATGCAAGTTCTTGGTACTAAAACTATGACCATACATTGTTAATTAAAA